ATATATTTTTGCTGCCATCGATCCCGATCCCGCGACCGAAGCCCCAGGAGGGAGAAGTGCTGCGCGCTGTGATGCGTCTTCCTCTCGCCTCGGCTGCCAGTTTGGATTGTAGTGCCCGGCTCCGTGCACCGCGAGGATGGCTCGGTTTGGGGATGATCTGCCGACCCGCTATGGAGGTGGAGGGCCGGCCGGGGCTGGAAGAGGGAGCAGCCGGCAAGGTGGCCCCCAAGCCGGCCAAAGGATGTATAAGCAGTCGATGGCTCAGAGGGCCAGGACTATGGCTCTCTACAACCCCATCCCTGTCAAACAGAACTGCTTCACAGTCAACAGATCCCTCTTCATCTTCAGTGAAGATAATGTTATACGGAAATACGCCAAGCGAATAACAGAATGGCCATATCCTTTCAGGAAGGCTGTGTGGGTACGGGGGGAAGGTGGGGAGGGGGAGAGGGAGGCTGAGGGGAAGAGACCCCTCTGGGCAGCGCAGGATGAGTGTCTGGGGCTAATGCAGACGTGCATGTGTGAGCCAGGGTGTGCGGTGGGTGTGTGTGCCACGGATCCCTGTGCCCGACATAACGCACGGCCGTGTCCATGGGGATCACGGGGAGCTCCTCCTGTGGGCACAGCAGAGGGTGTTTTGGGGGTGCCTTATGCCAGGGCTCTGTGTCAGACATACGTGCATGCCAGTGTGTCTTTAGGCGTGAGGTGGACATGTAGATTTACGTTCCCCACAATTTAAGTCGGCTGCAAAGGGTTCTGTGAGGTTCATGCCGATGAATCCTGATTCTTATTTCCATCTTGGAGCCTTCCAACTCTTCTGTCTCACTCTGAACAGCAGAAGGGATAAAAATGGTGACACCTTAGCATTAAAGCTGCATTGATAGTAGGGACATTGATAGCCCAGGTACCTGGTGAATCCCAGGAATACAATCATTGCAGCTCAGGTTTAGCACATCCCCTAAACCTGAATCCATTAGAATCAACATGAATCATGGCACTCTGATGAGGTGCGTAGTCTAAGCTTAGGCTGTACTAAAAAAAAAAAAATATTAGCAAAGCCTTGAGGCAGAGGGAGGCAGTAAGTGGGGAGAGGGATCGTCTGCTGTGTGGTGAAAGGGGCAGATGCTTCCTGTCCGAGCCCCAGCTCCCAGGCCGAGTGATGATCCTCAGGAGGGGGCTTTGCTGGGAATGCTGGTTGTAAGCCATGAGCAAAGGGGAGCAGAGTGTTTGAGGCCACCAGGGAGTAGCTGATGTGTGTGTGTGTGTACAGGAGTGCATCGCACTGGGGGTCTCAAGGGAGCCGACTGCTTTCTTTTCATCTGATATCACACCCCTGTTAATCCCCAGCTAACGGCAGCCAGGCCTCCTCCCAGCCTCCTAGCAACACTTTCAGTTGCCACAGAGGCCAGCTCCTCTTTAGGCTTCCCCAGTTTTCACTTCCTGAGGGGCTCACAGGAAAAATACACCCATGGAGCGAACGCACTTCCCTTCTCTCTGAACACACACACGTATTGATCTTTCTGTCCATGTTATACAATCCCAGGGATTGCTGTGCTTCCTGATCCATTTCTCCTTCCCTGCATTCCAGCGTGGATAAACAAGCCCCCAAGCCCCGGTGGCAGGCAGAGCATCGCCCTGCCCGCGAGGCCGGGCGCAGTCTGTCCCTGCCCTGCCTCTTGGGCCACTCGGCTGCGTCTTTCCCGGGGGTGTGGGGACGGGATCCACGGCTCTGCGGAGCCGGTGGGATCGG